AAACCTACAACAAAATCTATGACTCTTAGCAACCACACTCGCACCCACTCTTCTCCCACCATCGACGTCCCGACCCCCCCCCCCCCCCCCCCCTTCCCCCTCCTCTCCCTTAAATTTTTCTACAAAGGGAAGATAATGCAAAAGCATGCATCTCTCTCTTGTCTCATTCTTCACCTAGAGAGAGATGATCCAAAGGTCTCTCTCCAATTGATATCATTCTAGTAGTGAGAGAATCCAAAAACATGGCTTCCTCCCTCTCTCTCTCTATCTTTCTTCAACTATTGAGAAGCCTTATGATTTAAATCTCGGACACTATTCTCACCAAAGGGTAGGAGGGGGGCCAAATCCCCTCTTACTTACCCTTCTTTTTTGGAAAAGAGGTTGAGGACGCAGCGGTAGCATCCCTACAACCTAATCATCATGTTTCCTACTGGCACTACGCCATTAAGACCTTCAAAAAACTAACTCCTAAATTATTTAAAAAAGCAAGTAGGGGATGGTCTTCCCCAAAAGTATCAAAAAAGAAAAAAGAACTGTTAAGACAAGATCCATAGTCATCTTTCACCTCATTTGAAAAACTATTAAGACAAGATCCATAGTCATCTTTCACCTCATTTGAAATTCTTCTTGCAGTGAGAGAGACTCTCTTGTTCTTTAACGATTGCAAGTCCGATTTGAAAGGGATTAAGGTCGTGGTGGTAACACCTCCACATTCTAGTCACCACACTATGGTTTTCATTCCCACTACTAACACCACTTAACTTCTAATCTACTTGAAAAAACAACCAACTTGCCCACTGAATTGCCCAAAAAAAAAAACAATTGAGAGAGGTCCAAAGTCATATTTCACCTCATTTGAAAATCTACAAGTAGTGAGAGAATGCAAAAGCATGGCCTACGGATCTCTCCGTTTCAAATTTTGAACTTGTGAAAGAACCCAAAGACATCTCTCTTGAACTCTTTCAGTAGTGAGATAGAATTAAAAAACATGGCCTATGTCTCCCTTTTTCTCTCTAACTTTTTCTACAAGTGTTAGGAAAAGAGCTGGGGTTAATTGGTTAGTGCCTGACAATTTACAAGGCTATGTCTTAGGCTCAATTCCTATCGAGGGTGGGGGCCATTTGCTGCTACTTGACTCACCCAAAATAAAAGAACTTTTCACTACAAGTGAGAGAACCCAAAAGGATCTCTCTCTTTTAAGATCTAACAGTGAGAGAGAGTCCAAAACCATGGGCTATGGCCTAAAGGAATACCTATCCGTCTTTTCCTCTAAAATTCCTGTACTACTGAGAAAGAATCCAAAAAGTATAGCCTGCCTATACCATATGCCTCTCTCTCTCTCTCTAAAATTATTCTATTAGTGAGAGATTTCAAGAGCATGGCCTACCTAGAGCATCTCTCTCTTTCTCATTCTTGCACTAGTGAAAAAGAATTCAAGAGCATGGCCTGCCCTATAGCATGTGACTGTCTCTCTCTCTCTTAAATTTTGTAGTGAGAGAAAGAGAGAGTCCACAAGCAAGAGCATATGGGCTCCATCTCTTTGTTTAATTGTCCACATTCACTATGTGAAAGAGGGGCACCCCCCTCTTCCTCGTACCCCAACATATAACGTGGGTGATGATAGGCATGGGGTTAGACCGACAGGCCACGAGAATCGATGGCCGGATTTTGGTCTTGGAATTTCATCTGACCGTTGGATTATGGTTTTGTCGGTGGGATGTTCGGATCAAGATCTTAGTCAGGTCTCTATCTAGGGAGCAAGGGATACAATCGATAATAATATGTTAACAATGTGCTTGAAAGTCTTTGGTTAAGAGAAAAGAAAAAATAAATAAATAATAAAGAGGTTTATCTTAATGTTATTCAGAATGTCATTTTACTCGTGTAGGGTCTTGTAAAGTCAAAAACCAATTAGTTGTTGGTCTAATTTGTTATATCAGATTTTCAAGAAATAAAAAAATATAAGTAATAATAGTTTAAAATTATAAATAATAAAACTAAACAAGTGCCCAACTTGATTTTACTAACAAAACCAATATGTCCGACTGGCCTAAACTGATCAAACGCTGATTTTGACTTGATTTCAATCAAATTCCATTATCGTATTAGACCAGATCAACCAAGACCCATGTCAATTGTCGGACCAGGTGGTTTTGTTTGGTCTTGATAATTATGGTTTATCATCTTCGTAAATTATAGATAATATATTGCAAGATACATTTCTTTTAATATATATATATATATATATATATATATATATATATAT